CATTTCCAGTGTATGGACCGTCACCTGATGTCGAAGTAGAACTAAAGAAAAGCATATCAGAGAGAAAATAGTTGTGCAGATGATAAAGAATACATTGATAATGTTTTGAAATGCAGGCAAACTTTCTGGTACCCAAGACTGACTACAGTTCTTGAATTCATGATTGCTTTTGATTTCATTGATCAAGCTGTTCTCCGTTAAAATATACTATGAAAATAAGTGTTGAAAAAGTGGATTGTGTTATGAGCTATTACTTGTACTGACCGTCGTACAAAAACTCATGGTATTTAGTGTTTGATAAGGATATTCTGAATCGCCCTTCCTGTTTGATATTTCTATTTGTTTATCAATAGTGGTAATAATAATGATAATAATCGCTTTATTCCAATTATATGTGATACAACATGGAATTCTCAGCATGTAATATTTCAAATCCTCGCCTGGTTAACTAGTTACTAGCCGGTCCTAAGCCCGGGTAAAGAGGGAAGGTTGGGCATAGGGCTAGCAACCCTACCCCGTAAAACAAATCTAACCGCTAAAGAAACTTCAAAGCACAAACAAAATATAAAAAATGAAAACAAACTTATTCCCCGCTGGAATCGGAGAGGCGAAATGACGCCAGTTGGTGAAAGCCTTCGGGAAGCCAATTGGCCGATGTGTCTTCTCTCGATGAAAGCGAAAGTAAACGTGGGGACATGGAATGTCCGTACGATGTTTGAACCCAGTAAGGCAGCCCAGATTGCAAAGGAGATGAGAAGGTATCACATCGAAGTGCTTGGGATTTGCGAGAGCAGATGGAATGGAAGTGGACTCTCCAAACTCAACTGGAGAATCAATAATCTACTCCGGTCACCCAGACGCCAACCACGACCACACTGAGGGAGTGGCTATCATGATGTCCTCAAGAGCATCGAAGGCTCTCATGCAGTGGGAACCAATCTCCTCCAGGATCATGACAGCAAGATTCAACTCATGAGGAAGAAAGGTCACAATCATACAATGTTATGCACCTACAAATAATGCAGAGCAAGAGAAAAAGGAGGATTTCTACAGACAACTTCAATCAACACTGGACAAGACCCACCCCAGTTGGCGATATCAAAATTCTAATGGGCGACATGAATGCCAAACTGGGAGGGGACAACACGGGAAGAGAACTAACCATGGGTCGAGAGGCGCCAGGTGAAATGAATGAGAATGGAGAATTGTTTGCAGAATTCTGCGCATTCAACGACTTGGTAATTGGAGGCAGTGTGTTCAAGCACAAGGATATCCACAAAGCGACATGGATTTCACCAGACACCAGGACACACTAAAAATCAAATCGACTTTATCTCAATCTCAAGAAAATGGAGACGCAGTCTACTTAACACAAGGTCAAGAAGAGGAGCAGATGTAGGCTCAGACCACTACCTAGTGCAAGGAACCTTCCAAATCAAGTTAAAAGCCTTCAAGGAAGCTGGTGATAGACCTCAATTCAAGTACAATACTAGGAAACTGAAGGATGAAACTACAAAGGAGATCTTCAAGGCAGCCATCAAGACAAAATGGGAGATATCGAGGAACATCCCTGAAGAAACCTGTGTGGAAGAACACTGGAAGTCTTTGAAAGCTATGTGGAAAGAAACCTGCACAACAGTATTAGGAAGGAAGAAGGTGGAAGACAAGGAATGGATCTCGATGGATACCTGGAAGCTGATAGAGGAGAGGAGGATGGTGAAGCAGAAGATAAACCAGTGCAAGGATGCTCAACGACAAGAGGAACTGAGTACAATGTATAAAACACTACACTGGATAAAGAAGTGAAGAAGAGTGCACGCAAAGACAAAAGACACTTCTACGAAACACTGGCAAGTGAAGCAGAACAGGCTGCAGGTAAGGGAGACCTGACGACATTGTATCAAATAACCAGGTTGCTATCAGGGAAGAGACCAACACAGATGAAACCAATAAAAGATGAAGAAGGAAATTTAATTACAAAAGAAGAGAAACAGAGGAAACGATGGGCCGACCACTTCAAGAAGCTCTTGAATCGACCACCACCTGCATTTCGTCCAGAAATACCACCTGCAGCCGCTGAATTACAAGTGAGCATAAATCCCCCAACGAAAATGGAAGTCCTGAACACCATAAAGCTACTGAAATGTGGGAAAGCAGCAGGACCAGATGGAATACCGCCAGAAGCACTGAGAACAGATGCAGAGACAACAGCGGACATGCTCACACCACCACTATTGCAGAAGGTGTGGAAGGAAGAGAAGGTACCTGACGATTGGAAGAAGGGTTACCTTGTCAAACTGCCGAAGAAGGGAGACCTCAGTGCTTGCAAGAACTGGCGCGGAATCACTCTCCTGTCCACCCCAAGTAAAATATTAAGCCGCATCATCCTGGAGAGGCTTGAAGATGCACTGGATTCAAAACTGCGACCGGAACAGGCAGGCTTCAGGAAGTACAAATCATGTGCAGACCAAATTGCAACGCTTCGTATCATCATAGAACAGAGCATAGAATGGCAATCAGCTCTCTGCCTCAACTTCATCGACTTTGAGAAGGCCTTTGACAGCGTCGACCGAGAAGTAATTTGGAAACTGCTTCATTACTACGGAGTACCGCAAACCTTTATCCGCCTCATTCAACAACTATATGAAGATGCCACATGCCAAGTAATTCACAATGGGAAGCTCAGTGATGCCTTTGAAGTGAAGACAGGAGTGAAACAAGGTTGCCTACTATCCCCCATGATATTCCTGATTGTGGTGGACTGGATCATGCAGCAAACAGTAGGCAGCGAGAAGAGGGGGATACGCTGGACGACGGAAAAGAACCTAGAAGACTTGGATTTCGCCGATGACTTGTGCCTAATGTCACATAAACTTGAAGATCTGCAGGCAAAAACTAACAAGTTGATAGAAGAGGCAGCTAAGACGGGACTTCAGGTGAATATAGAGAAGACAGAAGTGATGAAGATACCGCACCACCACCATCAACAACAACAACAAACTCCAATCACCGTCAACGGGAGAAACTTAAAGGAAGTAACCTCCTTCACTTATCTAGGAAGCACTGTTTCAACTACAGGCGGGACGGATGAGGACGTCAAAGTCAGAATCGGAAAAGCAAGACAGGCGTTCATTAGCCTGAAACCAGTGTGGAGATCTGCACTCAGCATGCGGAACAAGATACGGATTTTCAACACCAACGTCAAGTCAGTGCTTCTGTATGGTTCAGAGACTTGGCGCGTCACGAAAGGTATTTCCAATAAACTACAGACATTCATCAACAACTGCTTACGCTCGCTACTGAAGATCAGATGGCCAGAAAAAATAAGCAACAAGGAACTCTGGGAACGAACCAACCAAGAACCTATCACGCAACAAATATGCAGGAAGAAGTGGAGATGGATTGGCCATGCACTGAGAAGGCCGACTGAGGACATCACGCGTCAGGCCCTCGAGTGGAATCCCCATGGGAAGCGACGAGTTGGACGTCCGAGGGTGACATGGAGGAGGTCGTGCGAGGAGGAAATGAGAGGTTGCGGGCTGTCGTGGGACCAGGTTCAAAAGATCTCAGAGAACAGAGGTCACTGGAGGCGTGCTACTGAAGCCCTATGCTCCACTAGGAACCCAAGGGACTAATAATAATAATAATATTTCAAAAAATTCACTCTGTACAATAATTTTAAAAGAAACAATTGTTGCGTCTGAATAGTGTTCATAATAACAGTGTTAAGGCATTGATGTAAAAACGGGCAGCGAATGTTACACTAGCGTCTGATCTGAACTCGGGAATGTATACAAAATCGAGTGTAATTTTGGTGGTGGTAGTTTAATTAGCCGATACAAAAATCTGCAATTCGCTGTATGTGTCCTAGGAATAGTAATATGCTGCATTTTTGAGCATTTATCAGTCTATTTTCATCCAGTGTAACGTTTTTTGTTTGTTTTGTTCATAGCTTGAGAAACGACAGTTTGAAAATATTTTAAAAATGTGCGAGGGTATATGATACGTTTAGAAGACATATTCAAAAGATTAAAACAAACTGAAAGGGAAGAATTTGATGAAATATATTTATTGGAAAATGTTTAGTTAGCCTAAGGTTTAAACGGGCCGCCTTGAAGGTATGCTACTGTATTTTACTCTGCTTATCTCCGAATTTTCGTTTAAGGAGAACATCCTGCCGAATTACAATAAGTCGATAATATTATCTTGTCAGGCGAATAAACTGTTGTGATGCAGATCCTCCTTATTATTTTTAAACAAGAAGCCGAAAGTCTTTGGTATGCCTTAAATGTCTTGTATTTTATGATGTTGACCACTTTACTTATTTAAGAAGTTGACAAAATTTTAGGACATGCATATAACTTATCCGAATGCTTGCTAGGGGTTGAATTTATCACTCAGCAGATTACCACTATTTGATCACTGATTTATCCTAAATAGTTGATGTGTAATGACTCTAAGTTGTGCAAGGCTTGGGTACAGAGCTTTAGATTGATGAAAAAGTTGGTGAGGATAAATACGAAAAAAACCAAAAAGCTAAACCAATAGTGCCTGAGATAAACAAGTTAAAACATCCCGTTATACATTTCATGCTGAAGATGTCGTCTAGAAAGACGATGAAAGCTCCACGAGTAAACAAATCAGCTCAGAGAACACGATACAACCAGGACATTTCAAGCTTATTTTTACAGCGAAAGAATATAACGAGACTTATTCGACTGATATTTTCACGAGGGGCCTTTTCTCCTCATTCTTCAGATTTATCATATCGTGTACTTAATTGCTGTTTTTAACCTATTCAGTAGTCGTGAAAAAGATTTGTGTAACCATATAACTGTATTTGTTTATTTCAGTTGCATTTGGTTCCTTTGATAAGGGAAGCTGTTGAATATCACGTATTCGACGGATAGTATGCTATCCAGAATTTTCTCGTACTACAGAATATCCAAACTATTTCTGTCATACAGGTTAGATCTTACAAACACTATTTACCATTTCAGACTTGTAGTAGACAAGTTACATTGCCATACTGGCCAACACTAGAAAACCCGTGGATTGAAGATGCCCTTGCTGATGATGAATTAATGAAGAGGAAACCAGTGGATTTTGAAGTTAGCGAGGCAGAATATGTGTGGGTAGAAAAGATCCTAAAGAAAAATAAGATTCCATTTCCTAAAGATATAATGGGACCTACTCCTAGTGGTTGGGTACCTCCAAATCGTATGTGAATTTGACCGTATTACTAATATTTTCATGTTTACTTTGCAACTTTGTTTATCATAGCGTAGATTTCAACAGTTTCTTGATTTAATACTTAAACAAATATCCTGTGTACTGTTTCCGCTGTCTGCCCAAAAATAGCAACTGAAACTAAGCATAGTTGCTGTTCATCTTCGTATCAACTGAGAAGAATGGTTAAGGCTAACAACATGGATCCAAACATTACTATGTAGCTGTTCAAAGTACCACACACCACATCAAGCGAGTATCCACAAATATGAAACAGAGAAATAAACGAGAAAGCAGTCAAAAGTGGTAGGAAGTACCGATAGGGGTCCGCGGAACAAGAGGAACCAGTGTTTGGAGACCTTAGGTGATATGGCTCAGAACCGATGTCAGTGGCGCAGATGTATACACACATTATCCTCATCTTAACAACGCTATACCGAATCTCACCATTTTGTCACTCCTCTTTCCTTTCTTCTCGTACTTTATATTTCTTTTGACTGCATTCACTTATCTCCATCCTTCACCTCACTACCTTCCTACTTGATGAACTGACGTGAGGTGTGACAACTTGGACCGTTACGCAGTAATGCCTGGTCCTATGTTGATAATAATGATGATGAGGAAGTCCCGATAAGATAACAAAAAGGGAGGAATCAGAAATATTAAACTCAGGAAATTGTAACCTACCTGTGGGCTTTTTTGCCTGATTTGGTTACCTACTTGTTGGTTGGAATCACACGCCGAAACAACCACGTCTGAGTATTGGAATTTCAGTAGGAACCTTTAAAGTTGTTTATGAAAGTCATCTGAAGTCCAGTCAGTGGGTGGCGTAAGGGAAGATTAATAAGCGATAACAGCGAGTTCCACCATTCCTTTTCGTTAGCCCTTGATCATTGAGTATAAGTGCACAAATGAATATTAACTGGTATGCAGTGTAGCAGTGCATTTTCTGCCTTTGAACTTTACGCTGTAACTACAGGTGCAAGACTGCGACAACTGACCGTCGGCTCTGTGTAGGTTGAGTAAATAACTGCGCATGGGTCCGGTATTTAGTCGCACAAATACATCACATGCTTTGCGCTGCATGCCGAAGTTTTTACTGACAAATGCCGGCGATTTGACGAAAGGTGCAGTCATTGAAAGCTCCATAGTGTTAAAAAAACATGTATGTAATCCCAATGAGGTAGAAAAATATGTGTAGTTTTGAGGCCGGCTTCATGAGAACAGAAATGCTGTCCGTGTAGCTGAGTCGCTTACAAGCTAGAAGAAATTAAAGATGATATACGGATATTGACCGACAGATGTGAAGGAAAATTGGGGTGTTAGGATTTGGAAAGTGATCTGAAGGAACTTGAAAGGTGATACACCGGTGAGGACAGTTAACCCTTCCCGCTGCCGACACCGTGGAAGGTTATTTCTCCTTGAGGCGCTTGAAATGGAAGGTCTAATGTGTGACTGTAGAGTCCTAAAGACATCTGCTTGAAACCGGCCACACACGGTATTTATGGAAGTTTGAGATGTTTTTTTTCTTTTGAGGTTGACTATAAACCCAGGTCGCTGGCATTGGTATGCTGCCGGGTAATGTTTACTTCTGGGTCCAACCTTTTGTAACCTCTTTTCTAAAAGGAAGGTAACATCAGCATGGAATCTTGGTCATCGTCGGCAAGCACCTTCCTGAACATCTCCCCCCCCCTGTTCAACCAGCGGCAGTACTACTTCACTCTCGGACCTCTTTCATAGCGTTGCAATTCACACTATAACGGCAACTGCTTTTTGTTGTAGCTTACCTTTCTGGTATGTTGGAACAAACTTTCCTTAACATAGTTCGTGTGGATCATTGTGATATGCAAGGCTAGCAGCTATCAGTCGGGTTATTGTCAAACTTATTCTAGGTGATATATCTTTTAGCATAAAATTGAATGATCAAAGTGCCAATCTTAGCGCTTATTTAGTAGTACTATTTGTCGGTATCAATGGACAATTTATTGTATGATAAATCTAGTAGTGCGTTCTTTAAAACTAATGCAACGGCAAGATTATGAACGATTTGTATTTTCATATTATATAGAGTTCTTCGTCCATCAGCACACTAATTTTCTTAATTCCATTAAAAATGTGCTATTTCTAACTGTTGGCTCTGTACACCACCTGTACTTATGATTAACTCTAACTGGCCCTGACCAAACGTCCAGGATGTCAACTTTTTGTCGGACCTAGTTCCCCCACTCGTAGAATTATTGCATTGCTTACAGCAAGTCGTTCCTAATCGTTTTGAGTCCTACGAAATGGTTAAGTATTTGGATGGAGAATGCAATGCTGTACATGTAAATAAGTTAGTCTTTCTTGTACAACCAAGTAGTAAAGAGTATCTTTCACTTTTTTTGTAGCTGAATTATCGAAAAATGTACCTTATTCTGTCCGAAGGTCCAGTAATCATATGCTACCCGTCTACTATATCGAGAAGCAAAGGAAATTAAAAGAATGTGCTCATGGAATCAGACAGCTAACAGTTATACGAAATGTCGACGGAGATATGCATGTTAGTTAAGCCGTAATTTTGACTTTGGGATTTTAAAAAGAGCGGATTTTTGGTGTATTATGAAATACTTTCTGACAGTGAAAGTAGACATTTCATATTCAGTATTGATGGTTGTAAATTTTTGGTTGTTTCTTCTCGGGGGCTAGAGCTTGCAGATTATAAACACAAAATATTGGTTTCTTTGTAATATTTGTGGGTTTTAGTGAGTTGCTAATGAATTTCCCCAAAAAGATAAACATCATACGAATGATCTGAACCCCTAACCTGCAGTCGGAAATCGAACCAGCCGTCACCGCATTGAATAAAGTCGTGGAAATAATACTAAACTGCCCATTCATCTGAATACGAACAAGGGTTAAACTTGTAACTTCCCTTCTTGTAAATACAGTACGTTGAGAATATAATCTTACTAGTTAAAGCTCTTCTAATCTCTTGAAAATTTGTATCCTGCTCATCCGATGCATTACAATTTCTTCCACTGATGCAATCAGTGTCGATTTTATATTTTTGGAATAACTTCTACCACTTGAGATCGAGCTCTCAATCATGTCTGAGGATTTCCAACATCGACATTCTGCTTTCACTTTGTCACTAATAACACGCATCCTATTGCTTGTGGTGGGATTTCCTCAGGGGAATGGTGAGTAGAACTGTTCTACTTCATCCACTGTTCAAAATTGATGTTGTTCTACGTGAGATTTCGCTTTACATTCAGAGATGTCAAATTATGAAGCAGAAACCTTTTTTCGTAGGTTTGCATGCAACATGCGAATTAACTCACGGTTATGTCCCAAATCTGATTGTGGTGTGTAAATCTTTCAGCACAAGCCATTTTTAAAACGCATCACCATTGTGAAACGATTGGCACAAAGCATCGGTTTTATCGAGTAATAGCTGTAAGTTGTAGTCTCCCCCAGCTTCACAAAGATCATCGTACTGTAACAAGTAGTTTGGCTTTTTGTACTTTGTTGAGCAGATAAAGACAATGCACTGACTTCTGAAGTTTATGACTGCTAGTCTAAGCTATTTAGGCTAATTCGAAACTGCTATTTAAATAGATAATCAATTGATTGAGAACTTCAGTGATAGGCTGAAATTGATCGCATCGGATTTAACACCTGTTTTTTTGTTTTAGTCTCTTGTTATTGGTCACAATTCTGTTTATCTGTTATTCGTCTTGTCACCGTTTGTTTTGAGGTGAACACATCAGCTGGAACCGTTATATAGTAATTCCTGATTCTAATTAAAACGATAACTAATCATAGAAAATTATTGCGGTAGAATATGCTCAATGCAAAACGTCAAGTATTTGGACATCTATACGCCTAAAACAAAACAGTGTGCCGTATCAATCTAGATGCTCACCTCCGTAATCAGCTCATGGTATTCACGCCTTACAATTTTCGAATATCCTAAGTAAAGTACTGTATGTTTTGCTGCTTCATCAAGGAAATTTTTTTCATCATCGGCTTGTTGATATTGGTTTAGTGACTCAAACTAACGACCTTGATAATTTGAAATAATACGATGACGTCGATTCTTGCACACTGTTTACTAATACCGAAACGTCTTTTATAGTAATATTCATAGTACTGGGAAATATACGAAAAGTGAACATGACAGTAAACTACCGTCGTTCAGTTCATATACAATATGCATGTTGCTGATACGTATTTAAAAGCCTATATAGCGATTACGGTAAATAGTATGCGCGTCAAAAGTAAATCACAGGAATGTAACACCACGAAAGCACTAAGCATTGCAATTAAGCTAATATGTTGTGTTAATAACTTTAAAATAGGTTGGGTGCATTTAGTTTACATACTGGCAACGGTTGGACAATTTTTAGAAAGACAGAAGAAAGTCTTTAATACTTATTCAACTCGCATATGTCCTGAACATTACCAGCTTATGCTATTAAAACGTAGAAGTCTTCCTTTTGATTTGCTTTCATGTGTTTAGAAAAGTATTATGTGTGTGTATTTTTTTAAACCAATGAACGTAGAAAACTGCAACTGGTAACGCCTTCACGACTTCTGCTTTGTGATGAAAACTCTTAGGTCGTTATAAAAAGGAACTGATTAGATGGTTGTCAGACTAGGATAACGTCACTCATCTTGAAGGAGCCTGATGCCATCTCTAGTTCTGCTATAAAGAATATAACTAACCCTCAGAAAAGTTTAATATGGGTTGATGCAGCTCACCAACTTCATTCGAATATAAATGTGCGTCTGTAAACGCACTCCTACAAATCCCAAGCACAATGAGGAGTTCAAAGGCTATTACTCTTTGCTGGTAAAGGGCTGTGGGCGCATATGCAACAACAGAGAGTGATTTGGATTTTTCATGGGAAGCGTTATGAAAAAGAAAATGGTTAGTCTGGTTACAGTGGAGAAGCATGGGTGTCTACAACTAACTCCTGGAGCAGACGACTGGAAAAGATGATCTGGAG